TAGCAAGACTTCATATACGTCTAAGGTCACGGTTTATATATTAGGCCAGCCCAAGCCCTTTTCTCTTTAGGGTTGTTTTTCCTTCTAATCTTACTTGCAAAGGCGGACGATGAAAGAATGAATTGATGAATTTGCTTGCATAAGTTTCACTTCTTTCCTTGCCTCTCTTATTCTCTTGGTATTCTTCTTCCTTCTTCTCATGTTCTCTTTCTCTACGGCCTCTTCTACTTCTTCTATTGTCTTCTTCATCCTCGGAAAAAAAAAAAAAGACAAAGAAAAGAGAGAGAGAGAGAGAGGAGATAAAAAAAGACAGAAAAAAAGTAAAAAAAAAAAATAATTTCCTGATATTAATCGCAAGTGATATTTTATTTATGTTGATTAAGAGCCGCTCAGACTATTCAATAGCATTTTGCCACCGTAGTCATGCCAGCATGAAAAACATGAATGGGATATCGTTTGACTCTTTTGAGTCTCATTATGCCATGTTAGCTTCTTGTGCTTCTCATTATGCAAAATCACATGAAGATTTTGGAAATGAGTTGCATGAGTTTTTACTATTTAGAGTTCAGTATCGGTATGTGATTAAAAAGAAAGGTCATCCTCCTTGGTTAGATCATATTCTTTGGTATAAACTGCAGCTATCTTTGTTATCACTTGTGTAGTTTCGATATTTGGTTATCAAGAAGGATCGTCCCCCGTGACATGATTGGGAGCCTTTTGTTATGGAGATATGATATGGGACCTTTTTTATATCAAATTGATTGTCACCTTTTGTGACTTAGCCACTCGACTCGAGTTTTTCTTTCATCCCGGGAGAATTGATGCAGCCATCAGCCTTGTATTTATTGGACCATTTACTTTTCTTTTATTTAGTTGGGCTTGTATTATGAGTAGGCCAAAGCCCTTAACTATTAGGTTTATGTTTTGTCTATTTATATGCTTGGTATTGTAATTGGCAAACAGACGGTGAATGAAATGAAATGAATTGAACTTATGCTTGCAGCCAAAGTTTTCCTCCCCTGCTTCTCCTTCTTCCCCTGTATTTTCTCTCTGGTCTTCTTCCCCCCCTTCTCTCCAGTCCTCTCCCACCCTTCATCTTCTGCTTCTTCCCCCTGAATTCTGCTCTCTTGCTGCGAATCTAATTATCTGCTGGAAACTTTAATCCATTGATCCTACATCAATTTCCCTTTCCTTTACTTTTTTAAAAATTGAGAAAACAAAAACAAAAAACTTAAGAAGGCAATATACTAAATTATATTCCAAAAGTACTACAGATACCACTGATGTGGGTAACAGAACAATGGAAACATTGGCTGAGATTAAGAGAGAGAAAATCCAAGAAAGCATACCAATAAATGAGCACTCTCAGTCTCAAGATCATCGAGTTCAACTTCCCACTCTTCCTTGAATGTTGTCATCTCTTCCTTAACAGCCTTCTCCAACTATCACCCATCAAAGAGGTATAAAGACAAGTAAACCAAAAAGGAGTAAGAAAGAGAGAAAAGCATAACAATCAAAAAGATAGGAAAGCTACAGAAAGTGAAAGGGAATATTTTACATCATCTCCAGAGAGAGATTGGGCTAATTCTCCCCTAACATCCGCCTCTACTTTTGCAAGTGATTCATCTTCCAGTGCTTCTTGAGCCTCTGCAGCCTAAAGTAAATTATTAATTCCAAGGCAGTGTCTTTCTTTTCTTTCACAACATAAAAAGAAGAAAATGATCTTTACCTTACCCTCGACATCTAAAAGCTCGGCAATGATGTCTTCTATCTCCTCCTCGGTCAATGGTTCCTAAAAAATACGGAAATACAAATTCACATAAAAAATGAAACCCTTGAAAATTTGAACGTAAAACAATGAGAACATCATTCTGGGGTCAAGAATAAACATTGAAGGAATGAATGTCATCAAATTAAAAGAAATCAAGCAATCGATGTAGGGAAACAAAGAGTGAAGCAATGGAGCAAGTACACGAGTTAAGAAAAACTTTTAAGCATATGAACAGAGAAAAACAAAAACGACGAGCATAAACAGTGCAAATTCTGAAGCACAGTGCACAACCCCATTCCCGTTTCAAACATTCAGAAATTCGTCTCTAATTTTCTGCGAGCACATCATCGACCTTTCTTCCAATGCCCAAAACTTTTAAGAATAGAACAAGGAAAGGAATTTGATCACAGGGAGGTAACAGAACAACCATGAAGAAGAATATCAAAAACCACGTTTTCAAAAAACAACAGCAGAAATCCTGAAAAGTGAGATTGATCATTAAAGTTGCACCTCTGGGTGTAATTCTTCATCGTCTTCTTCTACATTGGCGTTATCCAAAGAATCATCGATGATAGATTCTGAAAGCTCGTTGTCGGTGTGCTCAGTTTCTGCCTCCATTTTCTCTTTGGATAATGTCACGTGAACATAATATTTTACACAATCTTTTACATCCTCATAATGTGGCCCCTCCCCTCAATGTGAGAGGGGTGTAAAACTATGTGTATCACAAGGTGTATACGTAGCATTATTCTTTCTCTTTATCGTCTTCGGCCGCCATTTTTGGAGCCTTTCTGAATCAGAAATAACCCTTTAGTGCAGTGTACCATAGAGAGGGAACTTGGGGAAAATCAAATCGAGGACGTACGTAAAGAATTTTCAATTTTGAGAGTTTGTTTATCTTGTTTTGGGAATCCATTTTAGAATGGTTGATTAACGTAGAGTGTGTGATTAAAAAAATAAAAGAATTTTGAATTTGCATTTAATATTATTTTATTAAAAGATATATAATTAAAAATATATTTTGAAAATAATGGGAAGTGAACAAAGGTTAAGATTGGGCGTCATACGGGTGAAAATTTAGACTGCGGACGAAAAAGAACATAGCAATGTTTTTTAAATGAACAACACATGATAGATAAAAAAATGAAGACCGAGTTATAAAGTCAAATTGAGGTTTTACTGTAGTATAAAAGTAATTATAAATAAAAAATAATAATTTTAGATCATGTTTGACCCCTATTTTACTAAAACTTATTTTTTAAAAAACTTATTTTTAATCGCACATTTCATTAACTTTTGTCAAAATTTTCTCAATTGAGATTGTGATGAATTTGATTTTTATCTAAACCAGAGATTTCAATATTTGTGCAAAATTATTTGCTACACAGTTACTTCAACGGGACTTCAATCTCATCCTTCTTGGTTTTTATTTCATCATTATCAATTATATAGTAGGAAACTCAATAGCAATCTAGACTTCTATATCGATAGGCTTAACATACATATTCATGCGAATTTTTCAAACATCATAATAATTGTTACCATCAAGCATGAGTAGTTTAGCAACAGTATCATCCATAGGCTACATTCATCTATCAACACTAGGAGTCGAGTGACCCACTCTAGTGTCACGTGTAAGCTTGAGATCTAGTATGAAACAACCTAGCAGAAGGGTTGAATAAGTTGTGTCAACTAAATTAAATAATAACCGGACATTTTATGCATGTCTAGACAATTAAAATTGCTATCTCGAAGGTTCGTTTGATAACCTAGAAAATGGGTGAAAAAGGAAAATATTTTTTAACTTTAGCCAATTAAAAGTGTTTAATAGCACAAATTTTCCTGGCAAAATGTTTTTTACATTTTTCTAGGTACAATCCTTTGATGCACAAAATCT